GCGTGTAGAATTAGTAAAATCGACATTCAGTCAGGTAACTATTGTTCTTCTCCCCCGTTCAGATTCCTCGATGGCTACCCGTTGTAAACATTGTCTCCGCTCTTCGAAACGTGTACTAGTACGCTTCTATCAGTTCTCCCAATTAACTGTTAGTTTCGTCAAAGAACACTCGAGAAGATTAACGATTAACTGTGTATTTATGTTGTCATTCAGTATCGATAGAGATGTAAATCGTAAATAGCTATTTTTAAATAGCTATGCACTGCGCCCATTGTGCCTAATGAGCAACGAGGGCCTGGCTAGGCTCTACGCAATATTCATTGTATAGTTGCATTGGTAAAGTTCAAATTCCGCGAGCTTTCTCACAGCCACTATGTAACATTTCTGAAATTCCATCGGAATTTTTGAGTCCATTATTGGATAATATACTATCCATATTTATTAGTACTCTTGAATATTTAACTCATTTGCATCATTAGTGCATAAAAGAAGAATTGGTGATAAGAACGAGTTTTCCACTTTTCCATGCAATTCAAATGGGTTAATAAAGTTCTCTCCTTCCTTAGGAATATCGTGAGCTTCCAGACGACACATAATTTCTTTATCAGTCGAGCAATTTGCAACTATAAACACAAGCGTTCGTCTCAAATAAAGTGATCGAAGAGTCATCAAGAAATCTTCGATAATCGTTTCGAGGAACAGTTTATATTCCCATGGCGCGTCAAAGTCGCTAGAAATAATCGTTAAACATAAGAACAAACGGTCGCAGAGAGATCGTTAGTCTCCGAATCCGTCTGCATACTTGCACGTATGTATTTTGTCGCAGCAACGCTCCCTGCAAGAAGTAATATCCTGCTTCCGGTCGAAACGTTTAAACGGCTCAATTCATTAACTCTCACCTCCATTGTTTTCGACAAAAGCAAATTTCTTCGGGCGCAAGTGAATTTCGACTCCTTAATAAATCACCGTCACTGACTGTCCGCGTCATTGTCGGCCATTTAAAATTCCCCTGAATCCCGTCCACGTGCATACGTCGTCGCATACACAAATCATTCTCTCACCCATGGCGCGGCCTTTATGCTATAATTATTGTACGTACGTATCCGTAACAATGCAATCGTATCGCGAAACACGCCACCTATTTCTCGACGAATCGGGCGACGATCAAACTCTCGCGGCAACGCCGTCAATTTTACCGTCCCATTACTATTTCGCCTTTTTTTACATTTCAATCTACGGAACTGTGAATCTGGGAAACTGTGTTATTCGAGGCAAATTTTCGAGACGTATGAACTCGTAAGAGACTCGTAAACCGCGAGAAGGATTAGAAAATGCAAAACACTCGGATGCACGGTTCGAAGAGGTGTAGGATTCGTGGAAACGTCGTGCAAAGGAACGCTAGGCTCGAGGCGTTTTGTTCGAAATTACCGTAATTGATTTTTATCCGTAATTAGTACGTAGTCATCGTCCATTCGTCGAGTCATTAATCTGACTCACCACGATCGTAGATATTACGGGACAGGGGACAGTCCGCGGTGTCATCGCGTACACTCCTTCTGGAACTGTTATTTTTCCCAACCCATGACGTCTTCGTCATTGCCATAATTCGCTAATAGCGATCACATTCCTCGTGGGTGCAGTATCACCTATGAATAATTTCATTTCCATGTATCCAAGAACACATTTTCGAAACTCTTAGTGCATCCTTTTTATCTAGAAAGGAATACTTCTTAATAAATCTATCCCGTTTATTTACACGCGTGGTTTGACGTAGTTTCTTGTTCGTATTTCCGTGGCAGTGTTGTTATTCGATGGAAAACGTCGAAATTCGGGAGAATTCCCCAGGTATTGTCCGTCGCGACGCACAAAGAGACTCCGCGAATCCTGACACGACACGACTACCGAGAAAAACCGACGCGTATCGAGTACTGTATCGTTCATGGAATTATCGATGTTTCGACGATATAATTGATGTTTGCGAAACGAGCTCGTCGATTGAACGAGCCTCGAGGCTCCTCGGAAATTGTACGATTTCCTTTGACAATATTCCTTGTCAATTAGGAATTATCATTCGTAAACTTCGATAGGTTGTTGTGTAAAGAATTAAAAATATTGGTAAATGTATTCCTCGGTACGGCATGCTTTGGTAGAGGAGGAGGGGGAGTTAAATAAATTGTTCAGCCGGGCGTCTAGACCGAAGACGTCACGGATGGCAAATGTACCGGAAGTAGCCCGTATGACGTCAACGTTGAGAGGTTAAGTATGTATTAATTCGCAAAAAATAAAGCAGAATCGACTTACATCGATCTCGTTCCCATTTCGTAGAGGCAGGATGTTCACAAGTTTGTGATAAAGACTCGAAACGCGTCGAGTTATGCATCATCGAGTGCTTTCCACGATGACTGTATGCATTTTTATTTCGTGACTCGCGAAACGGTCGGTTATGGTGCCCATGTTTACCGATACTTTTCTCATTTGTTCCGATATGCGTCGCACGCGTGCGAAATTTATGTCGCGAATATATGAACACCCTCTGCACGAAGGAAGGACAGCATACGAATTATTAAAATTGCTGGGCGTGCATGATATTAACCTCGTCAAGTTTATAGGAACCTACGCGTTTATTTATTTTAAATATTGTAACGCGGGGGGAATTATCAAGATTGTGAGGATCGATATTATTTTGAAACGGTATAGATCACTCCTAAAAGGTGATCTACAGAGTGAGATTCTTACAAACATGGAGAGGCTTAATGTATTCCAATTGTGAAACAAGTTTTCAACGAGGATGCTCGAGACGCGTCAAATGTGGAAGCACGATGAAAATATACATCATTCCTTGACACTATGAATCTAGGCTACGAGAGTTACTCGCCAGGACATGTGACTGAATATCGTGACATGGTTCGCGATCCATGCGACGGCCGCGAGCAACGGATGGAACCGACCGGAACAATTTTAATGAAGATGATCTTCGTCGCCAGGAAGCGCCATCGCCAGTTGAAAAGTCAATCCAGCCACGGCTCTGTTTTTCTTTTCTTATTTATTCTCTCCTGAAAACACGTTCCTTCCGCGGACGAGAATAGCGATTCTAGTTTGACCGCAAGTTATGCTCGTCTAGGGATGTCCTCGACATCTGCTCTAACTATAGCGAGGGGAACAGAAATATTCCTTGTTGCTGTAGAAGCTAGTTTACAAGACCATTTAGCTGCCAAATTAAAAATCGTGAAAGTTTCTTCAAGCCACAATATCGTCTAGAGGACTAGATAATTTTACATTTGACAAAGTATTTAATTTTTTAGTCCTGTAGACAATTTCTGTCAGCTATTTCTGCGTGACGTGACGAACGTGTTAATAATCACTGTGCCCTATCTGCAGTTGCAAGAAGCGACGGGGACAATCACACGCGACACTTACGCAACAGATTCTCTGTTACAACCATTTCCTGCCGATAGTATTTTGTTATAATAGAAAGGAAAGAACGCGCGCGCTTTTGTCTGGGAGTGTATCGCGACTGATCCATCGCATCGCGGAACAGGCTATCCCGGCGTCGACGTCTAACAATCTGGAATGTTTAAAGAGGAGACTTTTCTCCCGTTTGGTTACGCCAATTCGACGTAATAACAGTGAGATATTGAATACGAGCGTAAACTGCAATTTAATCGACTCTCCGGCCACGAATGTCTGCGGGACATGGAGACTCGGCTCGAAAGGGTAAACGTGAACGATGAAAATTCTCCAAGAAGGGAAACCACCGTGGCATCGAAAGGGGGGTACGATGGGGAACGCGTCTCTGAGCCCTGTTCGCGGACTTGCGCGGATCAACGATAGCGATTGGCGATTACGTTAACCAAACACCGCGGTGCACGCCCCTGCAATTTGCCCGAGGATCATCTTCCCCTAATCGCCGCGCTAATAACAGGATTACGGAGCCCTGGCCGACGAAGTCGTATACTTATCCCTAATTCGCTGTATCGTTATTAATATATATAATACAATTGAGAACGTCTCCTGGCCGCGATAAGGCGACCGTACAGCCGCAGTTGGGGCACGCGCGAATTCGCGAGGCGACGGGATCGATTTCATTTTCCGCGAATTTCGGTACCGCGATCGTCGGCCTCCGATTTTCGAAATCGACGAGTGTTGGGCGAGAAACTGTGCCCCTAGCTGGGATATTAATTGATTTTTGAGTGTGGACATCGAGGAATCAAAAAAATAAGTGTAGCATTGAGAAAAGTAGGTGAAATAAATTTCGGCTTCCCTAAGTCATTAAAAAAAAAAAAAAAAATGATTCACGAAGATGACCAATGCAATTCGACGATCCTGTCCAGTTATCTACAGCGAGACGGACTTATTCCTTAACGGTTTTCATTTCTCTCGTACCATGACTAACGTGTGAAAAAATATGCAAACAACCGTTTGTGCATACATAATTGACTCATTCTACTTCTGCTCCGTGAACTCCCCCGACCTATCTCTCTAGCGCACTGGAAAAGAAATCAGGGCAAAAACAACAGCGAATAAACATGAACATCTCGTGCCAGCGACGATCCATAAAAGTGTCAGGACTTTCAAACGCTAATTAATAACATCTCGTTGCAAACATCGACTCCGTTCGAGGGGGGACTTAATTGCTCTCGAAACCCAGTTCACATGATTGTTGGATTTCAAATTTAACCGAATAGGGACATTAATTATCGTTACTGCGACCCAATTATGAGACAAGTGAGAAATGAGAGAGCAAGCTCAGATTTAATATTTATACGTGGAATACTCGTACAACTATTCCGTTGAACAGAACGGACTCATCGGTCCCTTCGAGTGGCCCAACTGAGTTCGACCAGTTCAGAGATCACCTTCCAATCCCGATCAATCGCTGTATTTCGAGTCATCCCTCGTTCCAATCAAATTTTGCCCATCTCTGACCGCTACTATCGCGAACAACTACTGCTCCAATATGCAAGGAACAATTTGTTTACGTGTATGGTTCGTGTACTCACGTGTAGTGGGAGTAAGAAGGGCTGGCCTGGTCGATGTGCGCAGCCGTCGAGAGGCCTTGCACGATGGCAGCCGAAGGATCCCTAGCTGGCGAGGAACTTTGAGCCCCCGGTACACCGTGGTGGTAGCGCTGGCACATTTCGGCCAAATTCCACCCATGGGCATCCATATATTAACACTGCTTCTCTATTCTTTGGCGTACCATCCATTTCACACGCGTTGTGACACTCCCTGTTCTTGGTCCTCCCCGTTCTTACTTTTATTATTCACTTGTCGTCGATCACAGGCGAGTAGGCGCAACGCAAACCGCGACGAAAGACACTCGCGCAATTATCGTCCATAAGCTGCCACGGTACTCGAAACATCGCGCTCGCAGACCTCGCGATTCCTCCACGATGGATCCACTCTTCAAGCCGCTGGAAACAAAACAGATTCGTTAGTGCACAGGTGGTTCTCGACGCTTTTCATGGATCAGTTTGGGAAAAGAACTGTTCCGAATAGGTTTCAGAGGACGGCGAACATAGGACATGTGATATACAGGGTTTTCCAAGAGAAGCCTCAAGGTCAGAAGCTTCAGTTATTTCTGAGCAACTGGAAAGGGTTTATTGAGAATCACCTTGTATGGTAGATACAGGGTTTTCTGTAGGTAGCTGGATTTGTATTCCAAACAATAGAAACGAGAGAGGAGAATATATATTGTTTCGAAGCGTGACACTCGTATTCCCGTTCTGCTGACTTCAATCTGATACGCTCTATTTTTAATAAAAAATACTACAGAGTCGTCATGGCTAAATATACGCGCTATTAATCATCCTTTCTGAAAAGTGACAATACCTAAACAATCTCTATTACATAGATTATATAGATACAGGGTGATCACTCTTCGTATCAGGCATATCCATTACTTAAAACTTGGGATACCACGAGACATAGACGTAGACGTCGAAAGGTTAAATAGAAATCCTCTGGTAGAAGACGATGATTAAAACTCGAAGCGTTAAACGCGGGTCGGGGTTGAAATTGGATCGATTTCAGCCTTAACCTTTTTCTCTATTGGAATAGGTGCAACTCGACCACCGTATCGATACCGATTACAGTCATCTCGGCGATTTCCCGGTACAGTAGTGATTAACGCTCGATCCGTTGATCCTCGAGTGGTAGTCGATCGATATCGCGAGCCAGATACCGATGATTATCTACTATCGCGTTTTGAACCCTTCTATTAATCCAACTCTATTACCAGCTCATCGCTGTTGAAATTAACTAGACACTTTCATTAACCTAGGCATTATACCGCGATCGATTCGACTGTTACGCAACGAGCATTCGTGATCTCTCTATTCGTTTCGTGATCCTACTTAGAATCCAGTCATTTTATTTTACATTTCTTTTTTTTTCGTAACCTTTAAGGCACGTCAACAGTCAAGGGCTCGAACACGAACTCAAAAGAATTCTTGTTAGTTTTATCGTACGCTTGACTTATTAGTCGCTCGTCAACTATTTTATTTTTTTTTTTTTTTCGAAAATGAAGCGGTGTCGACACAAATCTTTTTGGACAAAATATTTATCAATGTTGTAGAATAACCTAAAAAAAATTTCCTTTAGATTTTCCTGCACTACACGATCCTACAAGTACATATTTTGTAAATGGAGATGCCACGAGCTAGACTGATTTCCTCGGAAATAATTCCCATAGAGCAATTCTCGTATCTAGTTCCTTCGAGCGATTCCTACAACTTCCTGGTTAGCAATCAATTGGAAATGACTCACGCGATAGCCAAATGTGAAATACGTGTTTTTGATATCCGATAATTATGTATACTTCGGTGCCCGCGGTTGACGAACGATCCAATTAACGGTTAAATAGGCTGCCAATAATTTGGTCGTTTAAGTGGCGCGCGCTGGCCGATTCCAGCCGCCTTAAAGTAATAATTTCCTTCGGGAATTAATCGTCGACTACTGGGTTGGGCCAGGGGGAACAACGCCGTTTTCCTCGTCGCCGTACCGATTGGGTGTTAATCACGCCGGTGACCACGATATATCGCGCACCGTCCAATCGACGATAAATTACTAACGAGTTATCTGAACGGTCGGACAGTAAAACGCTGCGTTTCTCTTTCTTTGGTGACGCAATTAACCGTACGGGAGAGTTGCATACGTTTTAGCACCTAAAACTATGAAACCAGATACCGAGCGCGCGCGGTGCTCGATTACAAACGCGACCCCGCGTATCCTTCGCGCGTTGCGAACTTTATAAATGAACCCCGAAGTTACGTTCGTTTCGTCTTGTAGCTACAGGGAGGCGTTTTTACGCTTCGGCAAAGTCAACGACACGCAAACACGTCGCGGAGTCCGTTTACCCTACGATGATTTCAGCATCGAGTCGAGAATCCTGCATCCCCTCCATTGCTGGAAGAGGATTTCAATTAAAATAACACCCAAGTACATGCTGGCAAGCACGCTTTTCATAAACGTGACAAACTTTACGATACACAGGCGATAATTTGCATTGTACACAGAAAATTATGATAATATTAGTTCCTTGGTATTAAAAATAACAAACAACCAAGATAACATTCAAACTGATTCATTTACTAAAGCTAGTAACTGATAGATAGCCAGGTGCTACCAGGTGGTTTACCGAAACGTCCTTCGAATAACATAATAGACATTATAGTTTGTCAAAGCCTCTCGGATTGTTTTTCATGTAGAATCTTAGTTGCATTAGATAAGTGCTAAAGAACAATTATCCTTGTATCGTTATAGATAATATAATTAACGATACAATGATAATACATCGCTACAGATACTATAATTAATGATATTGTATCGTTAGTGCAGATAAATACGTCGAACAGAAACCTCCTTAGCAACCTAATCGAATTCTAATTGAAGATGACACCTTTTCATGAAAATATTATCACCGGAATTTCCAGAATTGCAGTATGTTTGCTTTCTCTAAATTGCTAGAACTCGGATCATTCGAGCATCCAAGGACCCAGCCACGAGCCTAACTCTCCGCAGTTTTCCCAAGTCCATTTTTCCCCAGTCGATTTACTTCGAACGATCGTCAATTACTGTTACGTTGTTCCCAAAAACGTCGAACCAGGGGAAACGAAACGGCAGTCTCGGCCGCATTAGAAAGTCGCCTTAGCCACGGGCAACGTTGATTTACAATTTCCAGATTTTACTAGCACGGTATATCGAACAATCTCGCGCTGGTAATTGTACGCTCATTACGCCGTTTGCGTATTATTTGCTCTCCACGCGAGACCAGGCACCCGCGAGATGGAAGATGCGTTATCGCCCTCGCGAAAATCGTCGAACACGGTTCGTCGTCGTCGCGTGGAAACGAAACGAAAACGAAGAAACGAGCGGCACGCTCGCTCACCGCCAAACCGATAATTTAAGCAGAACTTTTTCAACGCGACATCGTTACGCGACTCCGCAGGCATTCCGTGTGTCTTTCGTGCCTTCATCCTTGTAATGACATACAACGCGCGATCCAACGAATATCGCGTATCGATCTGGCATTATGATTGTTATTGCGTTATGCCTTCGCCGCAATTGAGACCTCGCGACGCGTACGTGTGTCTTCGTTTTCTGAGGCAGAAACCTTCTAAGGGGAACACAACCGAGCAAACTGTCTGCCAAAGGTCGTAGCTGCTTCCAAAATTGGAGAACTTCGTACATCTATGTTTATAGAATTTTCGTAATTTCAGGACAGAACTCTTTGTGTCAATCTCTGAAATTTATAACTTTGTTATATTCACGATCTGTATATTATGACAAAAGGTGACGCACGCTCTCACCGTCGAGTATATCACTTGGTCTAAGTGAGCATATCTTTGTTATTATCAGAGATTACCTCTTTATCAGATTCCAGTAAATAATTACTTTCGAAGGTGTCATCGTTATCTTTATCCGAATACATCGACATATTTTTGATTATTTTCTCACAAAGGGATCTACCGCTGAACTTTCTTTTTCCATGACACTATTCGAGTGTCCTCAGTTTTTCTCAAACAGGATGCACACGAACCATAAAGGAAACTATAAAACTGTAAACTTGATTTTGCTAAAGTGCAATTACGTTGCAGACATCGACTTCGAGATCGAATCAATCTTATCACTCTGTGTTTCATTGATATCGGTAGCACAACACGTTGTTGTACGTCAAAACGAAAACTGCTACCACACGATCCATTCTTTAATACGAATTCACTAGGTCTGACGCTGACCGTCACTTTCCACTTGAAAAGAAAAATAAGTTCGGTTCGTAGCTTCGTGGATTTGAAAAATAGAAATCGATAAATAGCAACCAACGAAGGCACATTTTTGAAACTAGGTTACATAAAAAAAGAATTTATGCTGATTTGTATCTCGATACGAAATCTCATATACTTCCTAAGCCGATACACGATTCCCATTAGCGTCTCGTAAGTCCTCGCAGTCGTCTCGCTCGACATCAAAGCCTCCCGTGCCAAATATAAATTCATTCTTCAATTTCAATTCGATTCATCGAGAAGGATCGCCCCGTTGCTCGCGTTACGTCACGATATTCGCCACACCCCGTATAGATCCCCGATTTATTCGCGCGACGCGTGCGCCGGTTCGGTTCCGACTTTATCACCGCTATAAGTCTGATACAGACTAAACCAAGTTTCACGTTACGTTCGGTGGAAAACGATCCGCGCAACGCTATTTTCTTCCTGATTTTCGATGATCCACGGTCTCGTTATCGCGCTATTGATCCCGTACCTCTCAATCTCATGACGGGACGCGTTCAATGCGGCTTACTTAGACGCTTTCGCTTCCGTCACTCGCGGATAGGGTTACCACATCTAAATCATCGACAAAGAATACGCTATGCGCACGCTTTACCCGTGTATGGTATTAATTTTAGTTCAGACGGCAGAAAAGAAATTATCTCGCGTTATTTATGCGTTGGAGAAGGAGGAGAAGGTTGGAAAAGCCTGTACCTAGTTTATTTATGTTTCTGAGGTGTCGTAGTAGTGGTCGTGGATAAGAAAGTAAGAGGTAGAAGTGTGGGAAATGTTGTGTATGGTTATAAATCGTGTAGGTTTCATAGAAGCTTTTAATTTTTCATTTTTATCGAGGAAAGACGAATTCTGATAAGGGTAACATTGAGTCAATCGACTACGACGAGTGAAAAATAAGTGAAAAATGAGGGAATAATGAAACTATTATTGTAATCTGTTTGAAAAGATATAAGTTCATCGTATCGGTACAGTGGTTGGGAACGATCGGAGTAGACTGTTACAGCAACGTACTACGAGGTCGTTCGATTAATATGAGGAATGCACGTCTCGATGTCGCAAGCCTGAATTTATTATGCGCTGGTAAAATTCAGAAGTACGCAGACTTGTAGCCATGCTAGCGACCGAGCCTGGTCAACGCACTTTTGGAGGAAAAACCAACGTTGATTGTTTGCTAATTGTTGGCCAATGACGCGGGTCTCGAGTTCTACGCAGCGGAAGTTGTTGTTTGTTATTAGTCGACTGTTGAATTCGAAGAGCGACAGAATGAATCGAGTTGAAAAATGCACAGGAACACTTCAGAGATTCTCTAACATTCGGAACTCTCGCTCACTGACGCTCCCAAAAATTCTCTTGTTTGTTTATACTCAAAAAAAAAAAAAAAATTTGATACTGTGGCTGCTTAGAAATCGGGGAAGACTTTCTTCCGGACGCGTTCGCGGTTCGATTTTCGACACGCGGCATGGCACGGCCCGATCGGAATCGGCGGCGATATCTCGCGCGCGATCGATCGGCTCACGAACTCGGTTATCGAGGCTCGGATCGCCGTTAACGAAGGTTTCACGGTGGATTTTCGAAAAATCGACTCGGACCGCGCGCGCTGCCTCGTTTCCTCGCCCTCTCTCTTTCCCCCCCGCGTCTCATTCTCTCTCGCGTCCACCCACGCGCGGCGGCGGAACGACGAAACCGGCCGCCGGCTAAGAGAGAGTGTATTTCTCGCTTATTATCCTTTCCTTCGATTTCCTACCGTAAGGAAAAAGAACACTGGCTCGGATGGTGGCGTACGTATCGACGGTATCGTCGGTGCCCTCGCTTCCCAGCAAAATTCTAGTTAAAAATTTCGAACAAGACGTAAAGCTGAATTTTAACCGTGGAAAGAAATGTTGGGAACAGTTGTCCGTGGAAATACGCGGAAACTTAATACAGTTAATTTCTGGAAGACGCTTTTAAACACACTTTTCTCAAGTAAATGGAAAAATGCGCGAAACAGATAATTACCGCAAACAAGAACTGCATATCAAAGTTTAAAAAAAAAATTTAATGTTAAAAGTGAAGATCTTAATGGCCCTCTGGAAAAACTCTTGGTCCCAATGCATAAATCGTTGCACGGTGTTCTTATTCGTCGCCTATTGCTCAAAGAAAACTTTGCCCATCTCTGGGTGTGACTCACGCGCGGTTAACTCTGTGCTATGTCCCGGAGATTTACAGCTCATTACCGATTTCATAGCCCGGAGTCACGAGCGATCGAATGTAACCTCGAAAATCTAGTCGACGGCGCGCGTCGATGCGGGACAACCCGCTGGTCGCGTGTCGATCGGATTTCCGCGCGCGGAAAGCTAGGTCTCCAACGCGAATCCACGCTAGCTCGGTCGTAACGACTGGCGGCGATCGGTCTCCTCGATAATAGACATTCCCGAGATTAACATTTCCGTTAATCGTCGTTACGATAATCGATTTATACTGTAATCGATAACGAGCAAGATTAACTTGTAGCGACCGTTCCGCGGCGGTTATTTGATGGAGCGAACTTGTGCTTCGTCATAGTGAAACATTTCATTCCGCAAGCTAAATTCGAATTTCTATTCAACGAGGCACGAATAAATCTATAATGCTAGTGTGGCATTTCTCTTGGAATAGCCTGTATTGGTCCTGTATTGTATTGTATCGTACTGTATTCGCTCTTGGAAAAGATTCAAAAGAGACTAAGTTATTGACACTGACTTTCATGTTATCTTTCCTAACTAAATCGTTTTATAACGAAGAAACATGTTACTTGATGTTTCATTTCGTCTGACTCCACTACTTCCTCCAAAACACTCAGCCAATAACAAACAACATTTTACTCAAACCCCGTCAAACTAAAACTTACCAACGAATGCGCGCCAAACGTGCTCCTTGCTCAATCTCTGACCTCCTACAGCGATCCAAAGCTGTCTAGATCCTCGTCGATCCCCACGATGCTTCACAGATCTCTCGAACACCTTCCTCGCTCCAAACAAACACCGACCAACATCAACCGCCAACTATCGAACATCAGCGATCCAGCACGGTTCCGCGAATCGATCTGGTAATAAGACAGCCGGCGCGTACACCAGAGGACAATCTTCCCAGAACGTCACCAAGATAAGTCACCGTACCTTAGAGGTGGTCCCGTGGGCGCGCGACGCAGCCCCCGCGGTCCTCGGGCGCGTTCGTCACCGGCGACGATCGCAACGCAAGGGCTCGGTCATACCAACGATTTCTCGATCGCTCTACGGTTCGATCCCCGCGATAAAAAGCACTAGGGCCCTATGTATCGTATCGGTGTCGGTCGCGATAAAATTGTCAGATCGGCACTCCACTGTTTCTCGGCCCTGGACGGGAACTCGTGGGCGGTGGTCGATACGACCCAACGATATTCGGTCGTTGTAAAGTCACTGGCACGTAAACACTGAGGATCCACGCGCACGACCGCCAACAGGTCCGCGTCAACCGCTTCGCGCTCGTGGAAATGTCAAACGACGACGTTGGCTCGGTTCACCGTCGCGCCGGCGGCCGTCGCCCGCGTGGGGGTGTGACATAATACAACAGCAATCTGGGATTTAGAGCGTCGATCTAGCCGGTTGTCACGGAATTCGAGCGTATCGTTCGATTCTCACGAATGTGCCTCGACCGCTGACTCCGATCCTTCTCCACTGTCAACAAACTGTCTTCGGTTTCGGAGAGTATCTCTTGGCGTATTTCTGCGCTGGATGTCTTAAAAACGTAGCAATACGAGAAGGACGAAGTGAACAGGGCGCTGATTCACGAGATATCGGCGTTGGTCGGGCGCGTGTGTCCAACTCGGTCGCGGCAGCCGGCGCGGCTGACTATCGCGTGTTCCGTGGTGCACGACTCGAGCGCTGACTGAAGTCGAGCGCGCCGTGAGGTGAGCGGAGGTGACTTGCGACTCGACTCGACTCGACGGCACTCGACTCCCATCGACCGTACTCGACTCGAGTCGATCCAGCCCGAACAACCGATTCGGCCCAGTGGCGGCGGCTAAACTTTCCTTCGAGCTGTACACACGCAGCGTCCCGCAGTGGGTGTACGTAACGATCCTGGTAATTGTAAATATTACCTATCAGTCGAGCGAGGACGTTGCAGGGCGAAATTGGAAGAAGTTTGGGAGAGGTCTAGACTGTGCCGAAAGGTGTGCTACGTTCGTCATCTCTCCATCAGGTGGGTATTGTACACTGACTCTATGCAATAGTTTGGATATCGAATACTGATACTTTTAAAAAAACATGTTTTATTGATAGAGAGTATGTATACGCTGATTATCACGCGATAGTGACGGTCAGAGATGAGCACAGAGTTCAGTGTAGCGATAGCTCGGATTGGAGCGTGTTCCCGAAACAGGTCAATCTCAATTGGGTCGCTCCAAACGAGAAGCTTCTAACGATTCGACGATGTTTCCTCTGATTGCTATGTATCATACATTAAAACACCTTAAATAGCTTTCACGTAATAACCTAATGCAAATAAATCGGCAGGACCACGAGACGTTTTCATGCCCCCCTTGGCCACAAATCAAGTACGTAAATTTCTGTGGAATAAGAGCCGTTCGATACAAAGGTGATCTAAAAGCCTCGCGCCGCGCACCAAGGCAGGAGATTGTCCTTTTTGAATTTCCTCGGGGCTCCGTAATGCCGTGTTACATAATTGAAAGCGTAGGAAGCAGATTGATTAACACACACGGGAGGAGAAAGGTTCGCGTCCGTATAGATCGGTGGTGGCTTTTATGCGATTCGCGCGAAGCGACTCTAGGAGGCCACGTGGGTGTCATCACAAGCGCGCGATAAAAAAGAATAAAAGTCCTGGAGATTATAGACGTTGTACCGTCTCGGCTTGCAATATACGACCCGGTGCTGCCTCGCCAATATCGCGGAAAGGAGGAACGACGTGACAATGAGACGCGAATTACGATTTCCTCCTCGATCAAATTCGAAACGAGGAGCGACCTTTACTGGGGCCATTTAATTGAGTTAGGTCTCTTCTAATATCAAGGTTCCAGTGCTAAACGTCGCTCAAAAATAACCCTTTACTTTTTTCTTCGGATATTCGTTCAACTTAGAGATGCTCAGAGATTCTGTACCAAATTCAATTATGCATAATAAATAGCTGAGAAATCTAATAAATATCAATCTCTCTCACCCTCGTCTTCTGCAACCTCCATCGATCTCTGGCTACCCGACCAAGATCACTGGGTAATTATGACGCTTTATACATTCCACCCGTTTCTTGCGTTAACCCATCTGGCTCGCTTTGACGCTTCGTTAACGCTGTACGCTTCGCTACGGGTAACTTTACATCCACGAAAGTAAGAACGAGCCCGGCGCGTTAATTATCGGGAAACACGACAGGCCTGACAAGCGGCGGGGAATTATAATTCAATTAAAGCCGGTGTCGCGGAAACGGCGATACGTTTTTCAGCCCTCCGCGGCTCGAGTGAAGCGGAACCTTTCCGTCAAGGGACAGGCGACGTCTTCTATTCTTCGGTTGTCGTCTTCCTTTTCAGCCTGGGCTCTCCTTGCCATTCGCTCAGAACGCTCGACGGGGACAATCGAAATAAGTACAGATAAACAATTCGAGTCTTAACGACGAGCAATTTATCGACGAGGATTGCATCCTTCGGATCTGTAATAATTAAAATCGGTACACGCGTGGCGAGATATTTACGGAAAAGAAAATCCTATAGAACGGTTACTCTTAAATCGGAGAAGATGATTGAAAATCGTTTCGAATAAAAGTGCAAGTGGCCTGGCTATCGTCAGGCGAATTCTACAAACAACATGGCAGAAGATGCATGTATCAAAAGTTAACGGTGCAATCCTTTTGTGTGTTTCACGTGGGAAAGGTTCCCCAAGTGTTATTATGATTGTTCAGGGAAGGTAGCTCTTCCTTCATCGTTAGTACGCGAGGGCAATGATATACGTGCGCAGAAGTGTTTGTGTTCGTGTGTGATGTCTTTAATTGGAAACGAGGTCTCAGCCCCTCTCGCTTGGAACCCACCTCGGGTATTTAACAGTAATTAACGTTTTATCGTGCTGGTTATTATTAAATCACCTTTTGATTTAAGATTACTATCGATATGTAAACACTCGAGGGGGGCCCTACGTCAGTTTCGTTTAAAGACTTCGTACACGATCCTACATGAGGGAGGGAGAGGAAATTAAAGTGAATCGAAGATTGATAGAGAAGCAACGTTGACAATTTAAAATAAATTAATTTAAGAAGAGCTCGGACCTTGGCAGCGTTAGAGGCTCGTCTACGGGATACCAATGCCTTGAAAATGGTATGCGCGAAGCGGGTCGACGCGCAGGGACGAAACGCAACAATAAACGGAAGAAGAACGACATTCAAAGAACCGTAAAGTAAACCGAGAAAAACATGATGCTCGGTCGGCCTTCGTTCGCCTGCTCGTACGCGCACGAAACAGCGTAAGTGCGTTGTGCTCGTTAATGCGTTAGGAAGCGACTAATGTCCGTCTATGGATATAAATATTTATACGCCTCAGACGGACCGTGATAAAAGCGAGGCGACATCAGTGCCCGCTACGAAGCAGCACCTAGGTATCCCGCGAAAATGAGCATCCTGGAAAAAACGATTACTCACGCCCGGCCGCGCGGAGAAAACGCTTATCGACGAAATCAACATACCGCTAGGTGATTTATCTCGCGACAACTGACAAGTCAATTCCGTTTACTTGAAAAATTTCCAATAAACACGGCTCTTCCAAGGCGAATCCATTCACGAGCTGGTGAACTTTGTTTCAACACCTTTCGCGATCAAATGTGTTCCCTTTGGAGCAGATATGGGCAAAATTGTGCTCGAATAACAGGATAAACATTTGAAATTTTAAATATATTGTTGTGATACATGGAGTGTTTGGATTATTGATACTATTACTTGAATCTACGATTAATGGAAAGAAGTTGAAGCTTCCTTTGTCCACTGCTTCCGAGACGATCACCTCGTTGCCAACGTTAACAGTTTCACCACCGTGCAAGATTGCGTTCTAAAGTTAGGGGGTATCAGGTGACCTGGCTTTAGTCACGCCAGAGTCAACATAGTTCTCTGTTTCTATTCATATCAGGATACGGGCCACGTTAAATCGTTTGAGCCCTATGTTGTGCATTTCTGTTCTACTGTATTCTAATAATATTCGAACAGTCGCGTGTGCGAATCGCGGTGGAGCCTCCTTGATCCGCGAGAGGTGACGAACGAATGACTCAAATTGATGGTCTGAAAGGGAACAGTATAAAGGAGATAAAAAAATGGACAATTTAATCATCCCGCAATTAAATGCCTGCGTCCTTTAACTATCAAAGTATCGATGTAAGGTACTACTGTAGAAGCTTTGATTAGATTCTAAAAAAAGACTCGAGAGATTGATTCATCGAGAACTTGGAAGTCGTATTCTGCGGAGGAGGAAACACCTTTCGCGGAGGTGTACTAGGTCAGACGTTATAATCGCCCATCGTGACAAATGCATTTTGAAAGAAAGATTATCAAAAAATATTAGAGAATACGTTTCGGAGTCAAAGAGCAATTTTCACATATTTCTCGATTAATTTCAAGAAATCACCCGCAATTCTATCGAAACGTCCAAGTAACCTAGCCAAAGGAGCCTACTCACACTCGTAAGTTTCACTTGGTACCAACACCCGATCGAAATTTCAAACGTTGTGCGATTTCGCATCGTCTTCAGGATTTAGGAAAGCGACGGTAGCCGGTGTACATCGCAAACGGCAAGGACAAGAGAGCCGCGATCCAGTCGGTGGCGCGGCAAAGCAGCCGCGAGTTCGAGGCTGCGCGAGTGTAGTCGCACAGACGGTGCGCTCGTCGTCGATCGGTGGCTCTAGCCTCTGGAGGCAGAGAAGGAGCCAGCGTCCCTCTGAACAAGGACGGCGTCGCGGCGTACACGGTACGCAGGTATAGAAAATCTCTCTCCTCGAAACGAGGTACCTGGGAGCCTAAGTCCCTGGAAGAGGAACGAGGACGGAGATCTCGCGGAAGGTGCGGCGGATTAAACGCTGGAGAGGGACGCTGAGGCAGCGATGGAGCGGAGAGAGAATATGAGAAAGGGTGAGTAGAGGGAAAGAGAGAAGGAGAGAAGAAAAACGCGCGGAAAAAAGACAGGTGTCCCCTGGCGGAGGATAAGAAGGCGAGGAGGGATAAGAGAGAGTATCCGCGAGAGAGGGATATGGTACAGCGAGTGGCGTGCATTCTCGCGCGCACGCTGCCTCCCCTCTAGCGTGCACGCTCCTCGCGTGCACGTGCAGCGTGAGTAGAGCTGCGCGTGTGCGTGTACAAAGTAGGTCCACGAGAGTCGGCGGAGAGAGAACGGGCGAATGAATATCGCCGTCCCCTCGCGGCCGGTGCGACCAATCCGCGCGTAGCGCGAGCTGCGTGAAGGCGGAACGCGGCCTTCTTCGCGTATATCTGCGTATTTATTATTCAGTTTGCAAATACGTGGCAAAAATGATCTCTCCCCGGCCGCCTTGGCGGCTGGATGCGCCTCCGCTAAGCGAAGCCACGACGGACCCGGCGCGGAGGTGGAGCCACGAAGGTAGGAGCAGGGCACCAGACGGAGATATCGGCCGTTAATTTGTTAGAAACGCCACCAGGCACGGCCGATTGCACCGAGCCTGGCTGTATATACGTGCCCCATCCGCCGTGTGTTGCGAACCAGAGGACAGAACCGACGGCAAGTCCGAACGGGAGAGGACATTTTCTAATCGCTGTTCTAGCCACGACAAAATGTCCAGGGACCTCGACTACCTCGTCAGGTGTCATCGTCAGATACCGATTCACCCTTTGTTTCGACATTGTTTTCGTAATTTACGTTAGGTCTACT